TGCTGGTGACATGCCCCCCAGCTAAAGCCAGTAAGTAGAGCGGTCTGGAGGCGAGGAGAGGGCTGGGGAAGGAAGAGTCCTAGATAGCACATCCTGTCCCCTGCGTCCTCTGATCCCCTCATCCTCAGTCTCATCCATTGCAGATTATTCCTGGAATCGGATGGAGGGAGGAGGTGAAGCCAAGACCCACTCCACACCCTTCGTGGCCTATCTGCAAGGAAAGAACAACCATTTCTGCGGAGGCTTCCTGGTGGCCCCGAACTGGGTGATGACAGCGGCTCAGTGCTTCGTGTAAGTTTTTGCTATGTTCGTACAGCACCTGGCACAACGGGACTGTCATACTGCCATGATCTCAGTAACGCCGCCTAGATGGAGGTCTAACAGTTTGAGTCACTTCCCTCACGGCGGTGGCCAAACGCTTTCCCTAGCAGGGAGCGCAGGCTGCACTGCTGGGACCGGGCAAGGCTGTGGGGGTAGCCCCAAAACAGCAGGGGTCTGTCCGCAGCTCTCCCTCAAGCCATCCTTCCCCGTGTCCCTCCCCATGTCCCTCCCCAGCCCATGTTCAGATATTTACCTTTATTTTTTTTATTCCCCCTCCATGACTCATTTTACTCTTCCCAGATGTCAACGACGAGAAGTCAGACCGGCTTCTTCCCTTGCTGTCACTGACCTGCTGGCATAGCAGGGATTGCTGGTGTCAGGCTTTGCCCCTTCTGCCACCAAAGACCTCCAAGACTGTTATCAGAATTAATAATCTCTTATGAGCAAGCTGCTTGCCCAGCTCTCTTCCATCCCCCCCCCAGCTGGAAAAACTGGGGCGTGGAGAGGCAGGAGGGTTTTTCTAGATGTGCATGACTGTGGGTGTACACTCAGGGCTGACAGCTCTGCCCCACTGCCAGTAACCCAGGCTCAGCAGGGTCACCTGAGCAGCAGAAAGGAGGATCAGCAGAACCCAGGAGCCCAGATGCCAAAGTCCCACCTGCTAGATTGAGAGGGACTCCTACCCATACCCAGGCTCCCTCACGATTTTCCTAAGGCAGCCCCTTCTGTGGCTGGAAAGCTGCCTGGCAGAAAAGGACCTGGGGGTGCTGGTTGACAACCGGCTGAACACAAGCCAGCAGTGTGCTCAGGTGGCCAAGGCGGCCAACAGCATCATGGCTTGTATCAGGAGTAGCGCAGGCCAGCAGGAGCAGGGAAGTGATTGTGCCCCTGTACTCGGCTCTGGTGAGGCCGCACCTCGAATATTGTGTTCAGTTTTGGGGCCCTCAGTACAAGAAGGACATTGAGATGCTGGAGCGTGTCCAGAGAAGGGCAACGAAGCTGGTCAAGTGACTGGAGCACAAGTCTTATGAGGAGCGGCTGAGGGAACTGGGGTTGTTTAGCCTGGAGAAAGAGGCTGAGGGGAGACCTTATTGCTCTCTACAACTACCTCAAAGGAGGTTGTAGTGAGGTGGGTGTTGGT